TAAGTGTGCTGCTGGTTCCTACTGCCCAAGTGCAGCACCCTGCACTTGTCCGTGTTAAAACGCATCCTGTTCCTGTTAGCCCACCCCTGTAACCTATCCAGATCCCTCTGCAATCTCTCTCTCCCTGCTAGCGTGCTCACCTCCCCCCAAATTTTGGTGTCATCAGCGAATTTAAACAGGTTACTGTTTAAATGAGATGTAATGTTGTTAACAAAGTATTTGATTTCTTCTTCCATTTATTTGGCATGTAGTTTTTTCTTGCTGGAATCAGTACATTTAAGAGTCAGAACAAGTTGAAGGACTTCATAAAAAGAGTAGCTGCAGGAACAGCTATAACCGCAGGGAGCCAAGTCAGTGTACTATAGGAAGTGGGATCCTTCAACTGTTGCTTAGTTTAGCTATGCTGCTGAACGGAGTTTTGCAAACTGAAGTTCATAAGAAATCATCTTCCTCGTCGGCTGTCCTTTCATCTTCTCTGTGAACATATTTTGGAGGCATGTTGGCAATGTGATTATGAAAACGTGGAGCCTAGAACAGATTGCATAATCTACATCAAGCCTAATGAAAAAGATAATGATGTAATCTTTGTTCAAACCTAATGCTTTTGCTCCTGGTAGTGAAATAGCGGTTTCTAAATCTTCCTGTTTGACATAGCAGGTAGGGAATTTAAACAGTACAACTTCTGCTGCCTTGCAGAACATGGTTTTGAAACGTTTGTTCTGATGTGTATTGGGAGGGCATGAGAGCTAGCAAAGTTCCCTGAAAAGAATTCAGAAGAATTGCCCAACATGCTTCTTGTAAATGACATCGGTCTTTAAAAATGACGGGTTTTGTTATCCCAGTTTATTTAAGGGAAACAAGTATTTTTTCAATCAACAATGGTTTTCAAGTAACATACAAATTTTAGTACTTCCAACCGAAAATATGTCGGATGTTTTCATATCTTAAAATGGCAAATTTCAATTTGTTAGCTGACAGTAATGTAAAATCTCAGCGTGTTTTGCCTAATAGTATAGAGAGAACTAACATTTTTGAAGACAAATGAGGCTATGCCTGCAGAGAGGGGGAGGATTGATGGTGGTTTAAAGCCTAGGGCTGAAACATGGTCCCTCCCCATCTCCTCCATTGTCTCTAGGTGGCCTTAGACAACAGTGTGTAGTTCCCCGCACCCCTGTGTAACATGGGCGCAATACTTGCTTTACTGAGGTGTGTTGAAAATGTATTACTACTCTAGTTGGTGCAGTAGGCTGAGATCTAGTCTGATGGATTAGATCCCCTTCTGAGCTACCCTGCGATGTTCTTGTCTCTTGGAAGAGCCGAACACCTACAGCTGGATACTGAGCTCTCCACTGAAAGTTGCTTAAATTAAGTACCTAAACATGAGCTGAACTCCCTGCAAATCTGACTCCAGGTGATCAGTAGCCACTAAAGGTGCTGAGTACTTCCACGCTCAAGTTTAAATATACGGTACCTGCCCATTCTCAGGAGTGCTCTGAACTTTTGCTAATGAAGGAAGTACAGACTTTATTTGTAATAGCTTCCCTTTGCTATGAGTGTGGTTACTGTTGAATCTGGTAAGACCTTTAGTGTTGCTGTCTCCTTTATTCTGATCATATTTTTCCTTCTAGAACTCAGCTCCATACCATTGTAGGATGACTAAGTGCACCATACCTCTGAACGGTAGGGAATAAACTGAATAGTCCTTGAAGCTGTCAGGGTAAACAACACTTGGGCAAAACAGGCACTTCCTCTATAGCATACAGCCAGCCCTTGGGACCATTCTCCAGTTCCTTCTCCTGTTGCACATTTGCCCCTCACATTGTGTTCAGACATGCCGCTAGGTTGATTGAATAGCCTCATGAGTGCAATACTGAAGTGACATTGCAACGAGTTGTTTTTTTTCATGTCATCTTGAAAGACGCTGTCCAAGTTTGTAACAGTGTGTAGCTTTTTAGAGGACTTTTCTGGCTTTTAATATAAACTTAGAGTGCCAAAGGAAATATTTATCTTACTTGCTGATGGCATGTTTTTCTTCAAGATAAGGAAACTCAACAAGCTGTCTCTCTTTGTAAGAAGGCCTCTAACATAGTGTACAGGGTACTCCATTTAAGTACTCCAGTGCTGAAGAAAGGTTGTGCACTTACCTGAATGTGGTATAAACCAGGCTTGTTCACAGCAGCAACAGGGTGGGCTTTTTCTAACCCACGAAGGATCTTTGCCTTGTTTCTCAGAGGGCCTTGTGGTTCCAGCCTTGATATAGACTGGA